TATATATATATATATATATATATATATATATATATATATATTATATTATATTTTAAAATATGAAACGCATTTTATATCATATACCATAACAAATGTGTTATAATACGTCATAATATTAAAAGTAAAAAATAAACAATTACATATACAAGAAAAAGTATGAAATGTTATATTTGTATTCTTAGATTGTACGATAAATTTGAAGTATTATAACTATTTTATTTCTAATAATACTGATATCGTGCAAAACTTTTTGAAACTATAATTTTCGATATTAAATTCTTAAATATACTAGTAAAAACGCAATAAGTTTGAGACATTTTTTTAACAGCGTATTCAAAGTATTTTTTTCGATAAAAGAAAGTATTGAAGAGAGTATGAGCCTGAGCCATTGGTCCATATTCTGCACTCCGTTATCGATAATAGTATTTCTAATAGCGAATTCGGTAGCTTGCACTAGTGCGCACTGAGTGCGCATTAAGGCTTGTTTACAGTACATTCTTATATTTAAGATCGTGTCTTAAATACATATTTAAAAACATTTTAACTAATAAAATGATTCGTACGGATGTTATACATATCATATTATGGTTAAAAATATTTGAGAATTTATTTGAGAATTATTTAAAACAATCTTTAAATATAATAACATACTATGAACAAGCCTTAGTGCGCACTCAGTGCACACTAGTGCAAGCAACCGAATTCGCTATAAGAGTAGCTTGTACACTTTCTGACTGACCACATTTAGAGGCATTATTGTCGAAAAAAGAGATTTTAGAATATGAATCATTGTCTAAAATTTGTTTTTTAATATTCGAAACATAAATTGTTTGTGGATATCAGATGCATCTTGGAAGTTATCACAAAATGTTTGATTTCCATTGACTGTATAAATCCACATATTTTGCATTATGTAAGGTGAGTTAGTTTTGTTTGTTAAATATTTTAATACACACTATAATGAAATTATTATAGTACTTGAGTTTTCTACGGTATATGGAAAAATATGCATAAAAGATGCGACACTAATCCGGAAGTGAAATTAAACGGTTTTTCACATCGAAGACGCTGCACGAATCAGATTGAAAATTTTCTAAAATTTGATCGAAAATTTTCTATTTTTAATGTGCATGTATGTGTGTGTAGAATTCACATAAATGTTATAGAATATTTTGTGTTACCTGAGGTTAAATGTACCACGATTTACGATCAAATTGCTTTTATCACTCATGAAATTGAAATATTTACGAAACGATAAAAAGCTATTCTTGAAAGAAAGAGAGAGAGAGGAGTCTAATTTTTCTACTATACAAGTTTAATATGACATAATATTATACAATATTATGTGTATAGAGATTAAAATATATATATAATGTAATTGTGTTATGTACTCAACATCAATATTTTGTAATAGGAATATCAGATACAATTAGAAAATGGAAACGAAAATGTTTTACAAATTCCACCAACAACAACATCAATTGGAGATTGTATTCATGTAGATGTCAGACAAAACAATATTAATAACGGTAAGAAAATTGACTAATTTAACATTATGAGAAAATATGTTATACGTTTCAAACATTATCGAAGATAGAAAAATTGTTAAAGAATTTGTTGAAGATTTAAAGAGAAAGAATTTGTTGAAATTACAAATATGATGATTTATTTTCATCTATAATATAAGAATTGTTACAATGTTCTTACGTTCCAAAAAGTCCAGAAAAAAATTTGTATATAGTTCTGTCCGCGAGTTTTTTTTTTAAATTGTTTACTTTATAATTTCTGTTTATTATATACTAATGCTGGTTATATATATGGCTCCTGCACACAGGACGCGGTAATGCTTGCCGCGCTGCGGAAGTTCGCGCGACAGCCAATCAATATGCTGCTTTCCGTAATAACCTTCTAGCTCTTACGGAAAAACAAACGTGCAGGAGCCAATAAGACGCGATTAACGACGAGCGATGAGCAATATCGAATGAGAATTCCACTTTAAGAAGAAATAAGAATTCTCACTGGATATCGCTAATCGCTCGTCGCTAATCACGTGTTGGATGCAGCGAGCCTAATATTTATTACATGCTTAGATTATGTTGGTCTGACTGTACCCGAAGAAGAGAATGTAAATGATGAGCTTTCTTATGAGGACGTCCTGAGAAGTTTTACTGATCAACGAAATACAGTTCATGAGGAAAATACAACCAAAAGAAACAAAAGAATCAACCGGACACCATCAAATAGTAATGACAAAAGGAATAGGGGAAATTTTCAGAACAGTAAATAATGAAGTCATATAACATCTTCATATAACATCATTAAAATGTGTAAAATCTTATTTTTAATTACTTTCTTTTATATTGATATATATCCAGTAAACATTACATGTAAATTAAAAGTTAGTTATAATTTCCTACTCAACAATGTAACTGTTATATAACACGTATGTTATATAACAGTTACATTGTTGAGTAGGAAATTAAAACTAACTTTTACATTATATGTAACGTTGTGTTTACTGGGTACATTTATATAGAACACAGTTTTCTGCATAATCTTCAGATTATACTTAAGACTAATCTTAAGACAAAGATTCAGTATAATCATTGTTTATTTATAGAAAATCATATTAATCAGGATTGAAACCATTACTCTTAACAAAATAATACCGTACATAACATCAATGTGCACATCTTGATGCAATGAAATTGTTCGATTGGAAATTTCAGCTCATAATGATGTTATAACGACAATACACCTGTGACAAAGCGAACATTTGGACGTCACTATGACATTGATATGACTTCATTGTGACAAACGTGACCTTGATGTTATGTAGGACATTATCGTTATTCGTTACTCATAAAAAATAACTCGTTATCAATATCATTACTTAAGAAATAATACATTTATTGCTACAATTTCTATACTTCTTCGACATTTGTCAAAGCTGTTTTTACTTTTTAGTCCGAACAAAAATAATTTGTAATAAGTTACTTTCCAATCCTGATACTAACAGCTTTAAATCATGCTTGAATTAATCTGAATATAAGAATCGGATACTATGCTATGAGCGCATTATATGTAATGTGTAAAATGACTCTTAAGATATTAGTTTTATTACTTATATGTTATTTTACAGGAAAAAGTAAGGAACGAATTGATGTGCAATTACAAAAAGCACGAGATAAATTTTCACAGATCGCTGAAAGTCATGCTGGAGCTTTACAAGTAACATATTTCTTACTTAAATACTGCTTATACAACAGTATTAAGTCTTAAAGAAATAACTTTTAGACATCGTTTGGACATGCGTTTTATGTGGCTGTACATTATTCGGTTTAGCTTGTAAGATTGAAATATTGAACAATGGAGAGAATAAATTCATCTAAAAGCATTTTTATTATATATTTGCCACGAAAGATATACTATATTAGTCTTCAAGGAATAACGGTTATCTATGTAATAAAATTTTGTTTCTTATTAGGTATTAGCAGAAGCATCGATGAAACAGGCTGATGCGTCATTATTAAGAGCCCAAACTGAAGAAAAGCGACTTCAATTTGAGGCACAACGACTTACCTTAGAAGAAAGAAAAATTCGTACTGATGAGCAACTCATTCAAGTGATGCATAACTTGCAAACGGTTTTGGATGAGTTGTTACACAAATAAATGAAAATCATATCTTCATATATGTATTTTTATATAACGATATATTTATATTTTACTATACTATAGTAATGTAACGATGCATATCGTTACGTGACGGAACGCAGAACGTCGCGAACCGAAAGCGCAAGAGGACAGCGCGTCCTCCAAAACAGTAAACAACGCGACCGCCGAACAACAGCGGTAAATAGCGAATCAAGCGAGATTCGAGATATATAAAACGCCGCGTAATTGTAATAGAGAGATCAGATTCGATCATCCGCTCTCGAAAGAGAATCAGAACCGATCCACCGCTCTCGAAGGAGAATCCGATTCCGATTATCCGCTCTAAGAGAGATCTACTCCGCTCCTGGCAGATTATTGTTCGTCGATTGGCGACTGTAGTCACTCCGCCGTCGTTGCACGGATACGTG